TTTTCGAATTTTTACTTTTGGGCCCTTCAATTTTTCGATTTTCCAATTTTACAATGTTTCGATTGTTCAGTTATCTGATTTTGCAATTTTTCAGTTTTTCAAATTCTGGAGTTTCGATTTTTCGATTTGTCAATTTTTCAGTTTTTCGATTTTGCGATATTTTATTCGTTCAATGTTTTAAGTTTTAGTTCTTTTGATTTCTCGATTTTTTGATTTTTCAATTCTTCAGTATCCCTATTTTTCAATTTTTCAAATTTTGACGTTGCTAAATTTTCAGTTTTCCGATTTTTCAATTAATCTATCTTTGATTTTCCCATTTCTCGACTTCTCGAAGTTTCGATTTTTCAGTTCTTCAATTTTTCGATTTTGCGACTGCGTTTTTGGTTTTCGATTTCTCAATTTTTCAATTTTTTAATTTCTCAATTTTTGGATATTTCCTTCAGTTTTGGGATTTTTCAATATTTCGATTCTTCAACTTTTTGATTTTTTTTCCCGACTGCCCAAAATTTGGATTTTTTTCACTTTCTTAATTTTTCGATTCCCCAGTTTTTTGATTTTTCAATAATTCGAGTTTTCGATTTTTGAACTCCTGGAACTTTTGATTTCCCGATTTTTTACTTTTTCAATTTTGAATTTTCCTTAAACTTTAGATTTTTCAATTTTTCGACTGTTTCTTACTTCGATTTCTCGAGTTTTGAGTTCTTCTATATTTCAATTTTGCAATTTTCCGAATTTTTAAATTTTCGATTTTCCAAATCTTTTTTAAGATTTTTCAGTTTTTTGATTTTTTGAATTATCGAATTCAAATGTTTCGATGTTTCGATTGTTCAATTTACCGATTCATCAATTTTTCAATTTTTAACTTTTCTTCTCGGGTTTCGACTCCTCAATTTCTCGATGTCTCAGTTTTTGAATTTTTCCATGTTTCGGTCTTTGGATTTCTCGGTTTTTCGAATTTTTACTTTTGGGCCTTTCAATTTTTCGATTTTGCAATTTTTCAGTTTTTCAAATTCTGGAGTTTCGATTTCTTGATTTGTCGATTTTTCAGTTTTTCGATTTTTAAATTTTAGAATTTCGAATTTTTGTTTATTGATTTTTTGATGTTTAGATTTCGCCATTATTCAATTTTGCGATATTTTAATTGTTCAATGTTTTAAATATTAGATTTTTCGAATTCTCGATTTTTTGATTTGTCAGTTCTTCAGTACTTGTAATTTTCAATTTTTCAAATTTTGACGTTGCCAAGTTTTCAGTTTTCCGATTTTTTAGTTCGTCAATTCTTCGATTATTCAATTTTGCAATTTTTTCATTTCTCAATTTTTGGATATTTCTTTCAGATTTGGGATTTTTCAATATTTCGCTTCTTCGACTTTTCGATTTTTTGACTTGTGGATTTTTCGATTTTTATTTTTTGGATTTTCAGTTTTTCGTTTCAAAGCTTTATATTTTTCAGTTTTTCGACTGTTTTATATTTCTATTTCTCAACTTTTCAACTTTTCCGTATTTTAATTCTTCAATTTATAAAATTCTGTATTTTTTTATTTTTCGAATTTTCAGTTCTTCTATATTTTAATTTTTGAATTTTCCGAATTTTTAAATTTTCGATTTTTCAATTTTTTGAGATCTCGATTTATCGAGATTCGGATGTTTCGATGTTTTGATTGTTCAATAAATTCGAAAAATTGAAAAATTTAAATATAGAAGAACTGTAAACTCAAGACATCGAAAAACATAAAATTTAAAAAATTCGATATATATTTAAAGTTAAGTTAAAATATCGATAAGTTGAAAAATGAAAAATCCAAGTATAAAACATTCGAAAAATTGAAAATCTAAAGTTTTAAAAAGGAAAAATTGAAAATCCAAAAAGTAAAAAGTCGAGACATCGAAAAACCAGAACTCAAAAAATCGAAATACTAAAAAATCCTTAAACTGAAATACTGAAAAATTGAAAAATAAAAGAAAAACCGAAGAATTGAAAAACTGAAAAATCACAAAATTGAACGATGTCCAAAAATTAAAAAATTAGGAAATCGAAAAATCAAAACCCTGAAAAATCGAAACTTTGGGAAGTCGAGAAATGGGAAAATACAAAAATAGAGTAATTGAAAAATTTGAAAACTGAAAATACAGAATCGTGAAAATTTGAAAAATTTTAAAAATAGTAGAATTGAAAAATGGAGAAATCCAAACATCAATAAATCAAAAAAAATAAAAATTCGAAATCTAAAATTAAAAGAAAATCGAAAAACTGAAAAATCAATAAATCGAGAAGTCGAAACTCGAAAATTTTTCAATTGAAAAATCGGATAATTTAAAAAATCGAGAAATCGAGGAGTTCAAAAATCGATAATTGAGAAAATATAGAAAATAAATAACCATCAAAATTCTGACTAAAAATATGTAAAAATTAATACAAAATAGAACACAATGCTTCTAAAACATAAAAATAACTGCACTGTCCCGAAAAATGTCTGTTGCATAATTACGGTTCCATTAGTATTGCTAATTTAGGAAATTTTGTTTTTTATTTTAATTAATATTAATATTATTAATATATTATTAACAAAGGACTGTGTAGAAAAAACTGTAAGATAATTAAAATTAATTAAGCACTTATTTCTTTTTCCACAGTATTTTACAATGTGTATAAGAATTAAATTCGAAATAATAAATGAAGCTGTATAAAACGTGAATTATTTGTAAATCCGAGGTAATTTAAGTAAGTGATTATTAATAGAGTAAAAATGTTGTTCAAATTTTTGCACTAAATTTTGCATTTTTTAATCTTTTTCAATATATTGTAGCTGGAAGTAATTTTTTATTTAAATTGTGTTGATTAAAAATTAACCTGAAACAAGAAATCGAGGAGAAATATGGTCTACCATACAAGAAAAATATGGATTTTTTCCATTTGATGACAAATATCTCATGTTAATACTGAATTATGATAAAATTTTGTCTAAGAGTTATATTGTTTAACCCAAAATTGTTAAGTTTAAAATCGCTCACAAATCTAAATGAGTTTAAAACATTAAATCCTTCTTAAATGATTATGATCAATGGCCTGAATTAAAAAGCTTTATATTAATTTGGAAAAGTACAAGCAACTACTAATCGAACAACAAGTATGACCACAAATTCTTTGTTCGATATTTTTATTATTGCAAATGTATTGTTTTGTTCATGGTTTTCCTTTACGGTTTCAGTTATTTACAAGCACCTAATTTTCACAAAAACATCCGAAAAATATTCTTCCTGAATTGAGTGATTTATTTTTCAAATTTATCATTTTTTTGTAAAAAAAAAGTACAACGTACATTTAACGTTCCCTAAAAACGACGAATTTTGAAAGCATCAAAACATACAAAACAAAATAAAAAAAACCTAAAATCTTTGTCCTGATTAAAATATTATTAGGAAATAAACCCATACGCCGCCGCGGTACGTCGCCTATGAGTTGTTTAGTATGAGCGGCGGACCGGTGACTCATCAACACTGACGGCAGTGCTCGAATAAAAAATGCCTGGAAGCGGAAATCGCGATGATAACTCCAGAACAACCTCAATCGCTAAATATTTAGAAAGGGGCGCGTGGCTGTTTAAACAGGGACTACCGCAGTCGAGTCCGGTCAATGAAATAATTAGAGTCTAGATTCGGATGTTTTCACGGCCAGAGTCATTGTTAGAAAGACATTTTTCGAGTCTGAACCTTGTGAAATTTAAGGACTTTGCATAGATGAAAAGAATAAATGAATAAAATTGTTATCTGAAACCAAAAACAATCCAAAAATAAAATTCACATTCATCCAAGCAAAACCAAAATGGGAAACCACCGAACCCACCTGGAACAGAGATAACTCACTGATTTTCTCCACATTACCTATTTCCCTGTACAAAACTGTCAACCTGCTATACTCGTAAGCCGATAATTATTTCAGACTTTATTCTATTTATACAGTACGTATGAATAATTCACTTCTGCCCCGAATTCCGTAGGTCATTTTCGTTGGGGTTGTTGCCTCCCCTTAAATGGAAAAACGCCCCCAGCGTAAAGAGCCCGGTTATCAGTTATCACTTATCGCCTCAATTTATACCTCGATTAACATGTAATTGTGAATTAAGTTTCAGCCACCACGCTATCGGCTCGAGTACTCAGTTCGCAGTTTCAACACCCGTTTAATTGTCACTGATAATTCATTGCCGAGTTATAAATTTGGTGCAGTGCTCGAAATTTCTATGGGGAGACAAAAATCGGGATCATTTGGGCGTTAAATGTAAAATGTGATGTTTAAAATGCTGCATTCCGACAAAGAGACAAAAAATGTAATAGCATACCGTCCGTGAAACTTGTTACATGCGGATATATTTCAACTTTAATTTTAATTTCAGTTCAGTATATTAAATAAAAATCAGTAGGGCGTTCTTTTTGAAATAAATGGGTTTTAGTGTTAACTTTTGATTCTATTAGATCTTGTTAAAACACAGTTCGGCATTAGTGTTTTATTGTATTGTAGAAAAAGGGGAAATCAATATCATTCACATGTGTCAGTGTGGTAAACGTGTACTTTTCTTTCTATATTCACAATTTCGTCTAAGTGCAGTTCTTAGTGACATAAACAAAACATACTAAGTTATTTTTTTATTCTTCCTAAGGGTAAATTTGAAATAGGTTTAAAAAGTGTAATTACAAATAGAAAGAGTTTCTGCAAAACTTCTAATAGTGGTTTTGGTATAAATTTTGTTATGGCTTTAGCAACGCCATATATTCGATGTAGAAAAATGAGTGGTCCTCGATATTGTTCCGGAGCAAGATTTATATAGAATGGAACATCTAAAAATTATTTAAATAAAGTATAATTTGGTATAAATGAGATCTTACCTGTTGCAGCACTCGTAACATCTACAATGAAACAAAAAATGTTATTTTAAATTATGTGAAAATTGTATAACTTAAATTATATCAGTTATTACTTACTTTTAACGAAAAAAACTGGTCTATTTGTTATATCTTTGACAGTTCCTACAACACCATCGTTTTAATCAAGCTTTAAAATGTATTACTCATAAAATTATACTACTAACCTTCAACAGTTCCTGAAACATCTAAAACGCGATTATCGTGTTATTAACAATATGTTAGTTACAAATTTATTTAAAACTCACTGTTAAATACTCCTGCTGGGACATTGGCAATGTCTTCAACAGTCCCTGAAAAAAAAAACTTATTAAAGCAGGCGTCATATTATGGAAAAAAATCATTGCTTTAACCTTTAATCGAACCGATGGTATCTGTAAAAAAATTATTAGTAAGTCGTAACATTTGATTTAGCAACTCACTGTTAAGTATGTTCCGCGGATCATTAATCAAATTTTTAACCCCACTACTAAGAGAAACACCTAGAAAATAAAATATGAAGTCTCACGACCCAAATAATGATTTCAAACTTAACCGTCTGAAGCAACATTAAAGTATGTCAACAAATGAAAATACACAAAATGATAAAAAAACATGTCCAATACAGTCTACACGCAGGTGTATCGCATAATATTCAAACTAGTTCACCTCATTGTGAAATATAGAAGAATTGCATATGACACTACATAATTAAAATTCCGCAACGATAATTTTAAAAGCGTCTTATCAGTTTAATTTTTTGCTCGATGTAATAATAATAGTAGCTCTATTTCCAACGGGTACAATATACAATAAAAAATTACATAAATTACTTACGTGTACAGTACAAGGTTAAAAAGCTGGTTCAAGACAGAACGTTATGTTTTAGCCACTCTCTATAACCAATTCTAAGATCTGAATGAATTAAGTAAATCAACGATGAACGATTTACTCTACTTACAGTAACGTTACAACGTTTTCAAGGTTTCAGAATATTCGATTTTGCAGTTTCCAAGTTAAATTTTAAAATATTGTTGCACAGTTTTGGTGTTTGCGAAAACCTGGATTCCTAGGATAAAATTCCTTTGGTTTCCTCAGTATTCTTGCCCAATTTGGTATTTTTAGACTTCCTTGTAGAATTTTTTTGAGGCATTTTTGGATTTTATTCGGTGGTTTTCTGTGTCTGATCTGGGTTTATTTACATTAATTTGTTCGGGTGTACTTCAAGGTTCAATGCTGTCTCCACATTCTTTCAGATTATTCGATAATGATATTAGCTGTTTAATATTTGACTGAAATTAGTCAAGTACTTTTGCTGAAAACTATTAATTTTCCTCTTATATTTTTTTTTAATAAATTTAAATATTCACTGTGTATTTTCCAAACTACGTTTCTCGTTTCATTTTAGAACACTTTTGCTAATTACTTTTGCCCATTTTGGCGAGGTCGTTTTTTCAGCTATATTTTCCTGATTCGATTCTGTATTCAGTCTTTTATTTCATTTTTCTAATTTTGTTTCACTCTTACAATGTAAGAGTGAAACAAAATTAAAATTTTTTTATTCAGTTTCTCACTTGGAATTTTACCAAGTTTATTACATTTATGTTAATTCTGGTGTGTCTCAGAGTTCCGAGAAAATTAATATTTTAAATTACTTGATTATTTTTGCTGAAAACAAATTATACCAACACACGCCGTAATCAAAACAGGTGAAATTATTCTGAAATTCAGCCAAATTTCGCTACTTCTGTAGACGTTAAACTACAAAAAAATACATTAGCACAGTAACAGCTTTTAGCGATTTAGTAGGTAATGGAAAATGAAGCTTCCACCTCATCACGTACACCGTTTGTATTTTTACTTCTGGTGAGCTAAATCTTTGTGTTTTCAATGGTGTTTGAGTATAGTTTACAACGAATTTTGCCAATTAAAATAGCGATCTAATTGTTAAGAGATAACGTTTTAGGTTATCGTAGTGTATTTGTTTGGGTGCTAATAGGTCTGGCGTCAGTTCTATGCTAAGTGCTGTCTGTTTTATTCGCAAGTGCTCGAATTTAACTGAAAGTTGAAAAAGAGTCGTAAGAAATGTCAATAATGCTAATACCTGATAAGATAAAACTGATTTCGGCAAATGACATACCTTCGAAAAAAAATGGGTGGGTGGGCGGGGTTAGAACTTGCTAAGATAAGACTGATCTCGGCAAATGAGATACCATCTAAGAAAAGAGAGGGTGGTAGGTGGGACTAGTACGTATTAAAATGTACTAGAATCATAGTAATATATAATATACTAGAATTTTTTGAGGATTTTTGTAAAACTTTTCGGAAAAGTCAATTTTTCAGTACTACCCCTTGTAAAAATTTTCTTCCAATTTCTTGCACTTTTCTAAAGTGCCTAAAGAGATTTTTTTTGTAGATTTCAGTTTCTAGAAGTTATTTTAGACTTCATTTTTTCCATAATTCCTATTATTTTTTCAGAATCATCAATAAAACGTTCGCATTTTTTACAAATCTTCAGAAATTTGACTTTCGAACGAAATATTTCGAAAATATTGGTGAGGAACCCTAAAAACGCTATATTTTTCAGATAAGGAGATAGAGATCAATTTTCAATACTGGCCCTGGTGTAATTTTTGGACGCATTTTCGTACACTTTTGTAAATTGCCGAAAGAGATTTTTTTTTTGTTGATTTCGGCCTGAAGAAGTTATTTTCAATTTCATTTCTTGCACAATTCCTGTCATTTTTTCAGAATCGTCAGAGAACATCGGTAGTTTTTTGGAATTTTCAAAAATTTTATTTTCATACGAAATATTTCGAAAATCTTGGTTCGGAATCCTAAAAACGCTACATTTTTCAAATCAGCAGGACGAGGTCAATATATTAGAATTCTTTGTGGATTTTTGGGCAACTTTTCCGTAAAGTAGCTGCTAAGACAAAACTAATTTTGGCAAATGAGATACCCTCTAAGAAAAGAGAGGGTGGGTGGGCGGGGCTAGTAGCTGCTAAGACAAAACTGATTTTAGCAGATGACATAGCTTCCAAAAAAAAAAGAAAGGGTTGGTGGGCGGGGCTAGTACCTGCTGTGATAAGACTGATTTTGGCAAATGAGATACCCTCGAAGAAAACAGGGGGCGGATGGGCAGGGCTAATACCTGCAAGACAAAACTGATTTTGGCAAATGACATACCCTCTAAGAAAAGAGAGGGTGGGTGGGCGGGGTTAGAATTTGGTAAGATAAGGCCGATGTTGGCAAATGAGATTCCCTTTAAGAAAAGAAAGGATGGGTGGGGCTAGTAGCAACTGATTTTGGAAGATGGCATAGCTTCCAAAAAAGGAAAGGGTGGGTGGGCGGGGCTAGTACCTGCTATGATAAGACTGATTTTAGCAAATGAGATATCCTAGAAGAAAAGAGAGGGCGGATGGGGAGGGCTAACACCTGCAAGACAAAACTGATTTTGGCAATTGACATACTCTCTAAGAAAAGAGAGGGTGGATGGGCGGGGTTAGAACTTTGTAAGATAAGACCGATGTTGGCAAATGAAATTCCCTTTAAGAAAAGAGAGGGTGGGTGGGTGGGGCTTGCAGCAACTGATTTTGGCAGATGGCATAGCTTCCAAAAAAAGAAAGGCTGGGTGGGCGGGGCTAGTACCTGGTATGATAAGATTGATTTTGGCAAATGAGATACCCTCGAAGAAAAGAGAAGGCGGATGGGCGGGGCTAGTACTGTTTGGAAAAAATTAAAAACTGCTTGGAGCCTCTAGTATCATTTCTTATAATAAATTAATTCATTTTTTTATTGCTAAAATCAATCTTAACAGGTACTAGCAGCACCCACGCCTCTCTATTTTCTTCTCATTTGCCAAAATTTCTGAAGTACATGTTTTCCAGTTTTCCCGATTTGTGTAAGGAGCTATGTCAAGAATAATAATTTTACAAAAATTCTCAAAAACTACTGGTATATTATATATTATTATTGTTCTAGTATGTTTTAGCAGGTACTAGCCCCACCTACCCGCCCTCTCTTTTTTTAGAGGATATCTCATTTGCCAAAATTAGTCTTATCTTATCAATTTCTAGCCCCACCCACCCACCCTTTCTTTTTTTGGAAGCTATGTCATCTGCCAAAATTAGTTTTATCTTAGCATCTACTAGCCTCGCCCACCCATTCGCTCTTTTCTTAGAGGGTATGTCATTTCTCAAAATCAGTTTTATCTTGGCAGCTACTAGCCCCACCCACCCACCTTCTCTTTTCTTGGGGAGAATCTCATTTGCCAAGATCGATCTTATTTTAGCAAGTACTAGCCCCGCCCACCCACCCTCCCTTTTCTTAGAGGCTATGTCTCTGCCAAAATCAGTTTTATCTTAGCAGGTACTAGCCCCGCCCACCCGTCCTCCCTCCAAGATTCTCCCGAATTAAAAACAAAAACAATGCGGCACTCAAGACTTTTTCAGGTTCCTAAAAAGTAAAACACTAAAAGTTGAAAAGATTTTTTCGAGTTCATCCAGCAACAAAACACCAGTGCATAAGTTAGCTCGTAATGTGTGGATGGGCGGGTCTAGGACTTGATAAGATAAGAATGATTTTGGCAAATGAGATATCCTCTAAGAAAAGAGAGGGCCGGTAGGTGGGGCTAGTACCTGCTAAAATATACTAGAACAATAATAATATATAATATAGTAGCATTTTTTGAGGATTTTTATAAAACTTTTCGGAAAAGTCAATTTTTCAGTACTACCCTTTTTGAAATTTTTCTCCCATTTTCATGCATTTTCGTAAATTGCCTAATGAGATTTTTTTTTTTTGTAGATTTCGGTCTCGAGAAGTTATTTTCGACTTCATTTTTTTCCATAATTCCTATTATCTTTTCAGTATCGTTCATAAAACACCTGCAGTTTTTACGAGTTTTCAAACATTTGACTTTAAAACGAAATATTTCGAAAATCTTGGTTCAGTATCCTCAAAAATCTATATTTTTTAAATCAGCGGGTCGAGATCAATATACTAGAAATTTTTGAAGGTTTTTGGGCACCTTTCTCGAAAAGTCAATTTTTCAATACTGCCCCTTGCGTAATTTTTGACCCATTTTCGTGCACTTTTTGTAAATTGGTTGAAAAGTTTTTTTTTTGGAAATTTTTGACTAGACAGAAGTTATTCTCGACTTCATTTCTTCCATAATTTCTATAATTTTGTTCAGAATCGTCAATATTCTTCATTCCTTCGCTGAGGTGAGAGTGCGAAGTCTGAACGATACATTTCCTACTATAACTTTAATTTTCGTGGGTTAGTTTTGATAAAAAATTTTGAATTTTGGTGTGCAGTGAGTAGTGAGTGCATTTGAGTTTTATGGGAAGTTTGGTGGAGCTGGCTCATGTGGTTACCGAGA